TATTACAAGGGGGAAATCTGGTAAAGAACAGAATGGCCAAAGATTCTCAGGTGAGTGATGTGGCCAATGGGCCTCTTGTTTAGATAAAAGGATCACAACTGTATGTTTTGCAATCCAAACATGATATTTATTATTTGGCTGTATAATCAAACTTCAGGATATCTTTAACAAGGCAGGTGTGCCATGGAATTTTAAGATGTAAAGGTTCAAAATAAGATATCATATTTGACTTTTCCTTTGACACATTATCTCTTCATCTGACTTGTTCTGCTCTATTTTTAATTTTCATACCAGCTAAGATCAGATAGATTATGATGAATTAACTTTTTCTGGTCAAAGTATCTAATGTGATAGAAAATTAAAATTTAGAATAAAGAATAAAACAAGGGGGAAGATGTGATGTCAGACAAGTTAACTGTTTCATACTACTATAGGCCCCCTAGTGGTGATATCTATTGATTCAGATGTACATGTACTTTTAAAGAAGAAAAAAAACAGTAACAGATGGTAGTGGGTAAACCATTATAATTCACTTTTATAAACATGTACCAGATTCCTTATTTGTCTGAAAATAATTTCATAAAATTAGGGTGTCTAGTCATATCAGTTTTCAATAACTATTTTCTGTATTCCGTTTATAATGTTGAAATCCTCTTAGTCAGAATTACATATTATGATGTGTGATAGGGACAGAGAACGCGGCTGATGAGGAATCCCGTCAGAAGATTGCAGTAGAACCAGCAACGGGGGGTAGCTACGTGGTAAGTAGAATCTCAACTCTAACTATAAATCTTAATGAAATCTGTTGTGTCAGTTGTTTTTTTCAGGATCAACAAGTATATAGCTATAAGTTATCATGTCAACCATTATTTATTAAATGTACTATATAGATGTTTATGAAAAAGAAACAGCTCTCTCCAGCAGAAAAAAAAATTGAAAGTAAAAATCAAATTCTGCTTTAATTGCATTGAACTAAAAAAATATCTAACTATATGAAATGTTAATGCAGCAAAAATGTTGAAATATAGCAATTTTCTACAAGATTTAGAGTGCATGTGGTGCATTCCAAAAGATTTGTTTTCCAATATTTTACATGATTTTTGTGTGTTGTATTTTTTTGTTCGATCAAATGAATAGATTTGTGTTTTATTTAGATCACACAAAAGTGGATACATGACCTGCAGGTGATTGACAAAGAAAAGGGTAAGGAGGAAAAATTTCAGGCCAGTTTTTAAAGCATTTTACATGAGCATGTTTTTCAAATGAACAGTTTCTAAAACAAAGACAGGCTCTGACACACAAGCAGATGATACCAGGGTATCTTCAATCTAAGGTCATTACAATGACCTCTTTTGCAAATACAGTCTGACATTGGGTCAAATATTGAAAGATATGCCTTTCATATATATTGTACTATGGATTTCTCCCTTTACTCGATCATGACAAAGAGTATCCTGGGGGAGTGAATATTAGATGGATGCTTACTCCTTTATGGCACCTAATCCCACCTGTGCTTCTTAGAGAATCAAGTGTTTACTCTGTTCACAATTTGTATTTATGCTGCTTTGTTTCAGACAAGACGCTGGAATCGTGGGTGGGCAGATCTCGCCCTGACAGTACAGAACTAAGTCGTAAATCTATCACATCTCATGTAGCCAGAATGACCGGAGGTAAGTCTACTGCCATTATAAGTGAGAAAATAACTCTCAAGAGTTAATAGTTCTAAACTGTAAACCTGACATTATGTTTAAGATCATCTTTCTATTTACTGTTCACGTTCCAATGTTGTTATATGCAATATCCTCATTTTGTACCAAGAAACCTCATTTTGTACCAAGAAATATTCATGCAGGTTTAAAAGTCAGATTATTTCAATATCTATACTTGCCTTCGTCAGCTATTTACAATTTTGCTTAGGCTCTTACATTCATGTTCAAACATAAATAAAGTTAAATCTCCCCAGACCTGAAACTCTACATTGTTTCCATTCAATTTATGTTCAATCACTGCATATTTGGCATATCTTTTTGTAATTGCTTAGTGAAATAGCAGAGCTCTACAGGGTCTGTTTTTTTTTAAGTAAAAAGTTTGAATGTATGTCTTGCAATGTGATTTGTATAGGAAAAATTATTAATCATACATTTATGTTGATGATGTGTTCTTTTGCAACAATAACAATTTTTTTCTTTCAAATCCTAGGAAATGGCTGGCAACAAGCCAAACCCGTGGAGATTGTACGACAGTCCATGCCCTTCGGAACCCTGGGATCTGAAGCAGGTCTCTTTTTCATTGGCTACGCAGCCTCCCCTAAAAACCACGAGTACATGCTGGACCGCATGGTAGGAGCACGTGATGATACCAACTGTGACGACATCATGAGGCTGTCTAAGAATGTGAAGGGAACATACTGGTATTTCCCTGGAGCTGATGAACTCAAAAAGTTCGCTTGAAGTGCTTTCTTGTGATACAATCAAAGTCTGGGACTAAACAAATAACATTGTTGCTTCATTAAATGATTTAGCATTTATATAGATGTTTGTATGATAATAAATTTATTCATGCATTACCGGTAAACTGTAATATTTTTTTATTAAATAAACACATGTAAAAGTATAAGAACATGTACGCAATTTGCACAATAATAAAATGGTTTATATTTACCGATTTGTTTTTAAAGTACATTTGTATATAAAATACAAGGTTATTAAATTTAAATGTAGTATTTTTTTTTTTTAAGGAACTTTAAAAATTTATGGTAATATATGTCTATATATTTATGTGAACGTGAAATCTGAGAGAAACTTCCAGGGAAATTTTAAATTTGACCAGCTCTTGAAGATTTAATATGTCCACATCACAGGCCTTTGGACTGCTTTAATCGGCTTAAAAAAAATTGTATGTGTATTTATTTACACCTCAAATTTAATTATTTTTTTGATAAGCGATCTAAGGCCTGTGGTCCACATACATGTAGCAGTTTGAATTTTAAAAATAGGTAACCAAAAGAATAGAGAAAGGAATCACAATGATCATCATTGATGGAGCATTGTAATATTTTTTTAAAAAATCATCTAAAATGTAGAATAAGATTTTTATTTATTTATAAGAAGTCCCCTATTGTAAAATATTTAGAAAGCGAATCGTTACCCGGAGTTGTCTTTCATTCTTTTTATCATGCGTTGTGCTTTACAAAGAACGACTACCGGTACTAGGTCATGTAATGATATTAGGATCGATGTTGCGGAAAGGAATACACTTTATAGTTTATCAATACAGTAATTAAAATTTACGGATGAAGATTTTTGAGTCGAAAAGTGGATTAGTTAGGGAGAAAAATAAAGTTTGCAGCAGAAATAATAAATGCAGGGACCTATATCCCCGATCTTGGCTAGTCAAAGAAAAGTTTCATGGTCTATAAATAGCCTACTGCGGGGATTTCCATTTTGGTTTTTTGTTGGCTTAAGTCAAACGTCTGTTGTGGGCTCGTTAACAGCTGATTAGTAATATTGTCATTGATTTAAATTATATGTATTAAGTCAATGATTAGTCCACGACAGACAAACAGACAGAGAAATCTTATTTGATCGATTGCAATTTGGGAGAATATATACTCACTCAACATGCTCAAAGCCAAAAGGTAAGTGTCTGTCACTGTGTGCTTTCTTGTTTTTCTATTTTAAAAAAAAAAAAATCGCCTTCATCTGTTCAGTTGACCCTTTCCACTGATCATATATCATCTTTTCAAATTGCAGTATCAAATAATTTATAATTTTTTACCTGATCAGATACAATATATACAGGCCTAGTTACATATGTATATTGATTTATGACAGAATTAAGAATTAGGGTATCTGAGCCACATTGAAGAGTGTTCTCTGTCTGCAATCATGTCAGATGAGCGACGTGGCCCATAGACCTTTTGTTTTAATATTACAAACTTTCAAAAAAAGCATGATTTGATATTCTTTTTCTTCAGGTAAAACAGATTGATTATAATCGTTTTCCAAGTTGTGGAGGGGAATGGCACCAGGGTATAGAAAACACAATTTGGGCTGGAAGAGAAGAAATGGATAAATGTAAAGAGTAGGAAAAAACTGCAAATACCAGTAAGTCATTATACAGTAAAACTCATTTAATACAAACACAGATACAGGTAAACTTCGGTATCTCGACATCGGATATGTCGACAACCTGGGATATGTCAATGTCCGTCCGCGGTCCCGGCATATTTTGCTATAATTATAAATGATTTGCAAAAACAAATTAAAGATATAGCAAGGTAATTTCATAGGTCCCAGTGACTGCATTATAACTGAGTTTTACTGTATATCATTTCAAAATTGCATGTATATGCTAGGTCAGTGATGTTAATTTGTTGAATAAGGTTGCATGTACTCATGAACATCAAACTACGTGCTGTATACAGGGAAATTTTCGCCCCCGTTTTATTTTCGCCCTACTCATAAATGCATGGGCAAATTTAAAACATGGCGAATTCAAAGATTATAATATAATAATTTTTTTAACAAAACTGTGACTGAGCGAAACTGAAATATCTGGTCAAAATCGTTTGCAAGTGTGAATGGGAAAAAATACCAGGGGGGGGGGGGGATATTAAACCCGGTAAAGTCTTTCAATCCTGAGTAGATGCTGATAGTGACATACTTTATTCTTTTACATGTGTGGCTTTGTTTCAGTTTTAAAGTACAGTGGAGCATCTTTATTCTCACTCTGGATACATATGATCCAGGCCCTTCATTTCTAAACAATTTACCAAGTACCCAGTATCAATGTTTCCATAATTAAGTCTCTACCTATATATAGATGTTGTTTTTTTTTGGGGGGGGGGGGGGGAGGGGATAATGCATGAACTAGATAAATACTTTGTAAGTAAGCAGACTACTCTTGGATTTATTTACATCAATCTTTATTGATGCTATAATTAAGCAATATGTTACACGTAAAACATTTCTGAAACACTCTCTTTTTTTTTTTACAGATCTGGACAATCAAAAGATCATACAATCCAGTATAACATTCAAATGTTAAATGGTATTGCCCGGTAGAGAACTTTGTTGTCAGCTTGGACTGTCTTGGGACACATTATTATAACTATAATGTTATCCAATCTCGGATGATTCTGATATCCTTTAAATTGCTGTACCTTCTTTTAAATTGCATACGAAGTAAGTATATATGCATGCATGTATTCAGTTTAGAGTGTTCAATAATAATGTTTTTGACCTTCAACTTTCTTTAACTCTTTATTCCCTCTGCGGCCCTAGCTTCAAGGTTGGGGGGATGGTGGGATTTGTATATTTTGACTTTTTAATACTTAAACTCAAATTTCTGTTTCTCTAGGCTAATTGCTTAGATGCGCAATGTGATTATGGACCTCTTGGTTTTAGGTTTATCAATTTTATTGAATAAACAAAGAGGAGAAATGGATATCTCAAGCCTTAAAGGTAAGTCTTTTATAAAATGGTATATTGCATATTGATCAAATGAATGTCTTTTTTATACCCCCCGCTTGAAAAGTGGGAGGGTATATAGTAATCGGGATTTCCGTCCGTCCATTACGCTTTATCTCTTATCCGCAACTCCTCTTATACTAATGAAACTTTCACAGAATCTTTATTTACATATTGCCATTGTGACCTATTTTACTTTTTTTATTCGACACAAATTTTAGGTTTCCCATAGCAAATCATGGACATTGCCATTATATGTTTACCTATGACGTCACATATAGAAGCTTCTGGATAACATTTGATGGGACGAGTTATTCCTCTTTACACATTAACGTAAAACAATATATAGCAACACATGGACATTATGGGAGGCGGGGGGTATCATTTAGTGAGCTCATTGCTCACAGTACCTCTAGTTTTCTTTTGTTTTAGCTCATATGTGAGCTTTTTTAGCTCACCTGAGCTGAAAGCTCAAGTGAGCTATTCTGATCCTCTGTAAACTTTTTACATTTAAGACTTCTTTTCCAGATCCAATGGCCCAATTTCAACCAGATTTGCCTCAAAGTACTGTAAATGTATTATATTTGGTGTGTATGATATTTGGCAGAAAATCATGTTTGAACAAGTTAGTAGAGATTTAATTTAGCTCCATCTGAATGTGCTAGATATAAATCTATGATAAACTAGAGGTACTGTGAGCAATGAGCTCACTAAATGATACCCCCGCCTCCCATAATGTCCATGTGTTGCTATATAATTGTTTTACAGTAATGTATAAAGAAGAATAACTCGTCCTATCAAATGTTATCCAGAAGCTTCTATATGTGACGTCATAGGTAAACATATAATGGCAATGTCCATGTTTTGCTATGGGAAACCTAAAATACGTGTTGAATAAAAAAGTAAAATAGGAGCTGCACAATGGCAATATATAATAAAGATTCTGTGAAAGTTTCATTAAATTTCACTCAGTAGTATAAGAGGAGTTGCGGATAAGAGATAAAGCGTAACAGACGGAAGGACGGACAGATGGACGGACGGATGTACAGACAGACAGACTGAAATACTGATTACTATATACCCTCCCACTTTTCAAGCGGGGGGTATAACAAGACATTAGCGATGTACTTGATTTAGCAGATGATGCTTTCCACTAAAATCGCTAAATAGAATACACCGCTAAATGTAATATGTTTACAGTATCCTTGGGTGAAAGGGATTCAAGTTTGTTCAAATGAAGGGTCACACTCTCATTCAAGGGGAGATAATTAAGAAATAGTGAAAATTTTGTGGCATGTTTTAAAAATCTTCTTCTCAGAACCACTGGGCCAGGAAAGATGAAACTCATGTGGAATCATCCTCAGGTAGTGTAGATTCAAATTTGTACAAATCGTGACCTCCAGGGTTAGGGCTGGGCCACAATGGATGATCAAAGTTTTACATACTAGGAATATACAGGAAAATTTTTAAGAATCTTCTTCTCAAGAACAACAAAGCAATGATTAGTCATATTTATATGGAAGCATCCTCAGGCAGTGCAAATTCAAATTTGTTCAAATCATGACCCCAGGGGGTAGGGCGGGGCCACAATGGATGATCAAATTTTTACATACTAGGCCGGAATATACAGGAAAATCTTTAAAAATCTTCTTCTCAAGAACAACAAGGCAGTGATTAGTCATATTTATATGGAAGCATCCTCAGGTAGTGCAAATTCAAATTTGTTCAAATCATGACCCCCTAGGGGTAGGACGGGGCCATAATAGAAGATCAAAGTTTTACATAGCAATATACAGGAAAATCTTTAAAATCTTCTCAAGAACAACAAAGCAATGATTAGTCATATTTACGAGGGGTGTTAAAAAAGTTCACGGACACATTGAATTACGGAAAATCTATTGTGTACTGTGAAGGATGACCTATGTCTGAATAAATTCCTACATTTTGTTTATTAGCATGTAAAAAATTAAGTCCATATAATGAAATCTTGAAAATTTACAAAGATTTTTACTATGAGGTCATGGGATTCACGGAGCAATCACTTGATGTCAGGCGACGTAACAAACAGATTTCAACCCGTTAAGTTTTGTCGCAGTTCTATAAATCTATAAATCTTTAATTTCTTCAGAATTTTCCTATCTTTTTTCTACTTTAAAATTGAATATATAGATCAAGACATGTTACTTTTTTACTATAAATTTGTCTTTTGTACTGATTCAGATATTATTGAGATCTTTAAAAAGGTCTATACATTTAATCGATCAGGTATTGAAACTATGCAAAACCATATAGGCGCAGTGCAACGTCCATGCGATAAGGGGGGTATTGAAGTATCGATGGAGTACATCATTCAAAATGTTAATCCTTCCATTCTTATGAAGCTACAACCATTTGAAAACATGTCCTTTGTATGTGTAGGAAATTCCAAGCGGCATCATGAACATTTTAATCTCTTTTTAGACATTTTCCTGTCTACACACATAATTTTTACGTAGTGCAGTGCTCCATGATGCTCAATGACGTTCCGATTTTTGGCTGTGTTTTTACGCGTTGATCATTCTTAAACGGCTATAAAACAGTCATGTACCCTCAAATGTAGTTCAAAATTTCTCCCAGTGACGTTTCATGAATACTTTAGCGGCAGGTAAAATATAATTAATTTCTTTGCACTGCAATTGTGCAATTTTTAATTTTAAAAAAGAGTCTTTGTGATGTATACGTGCCAAAATGTAGCATGCTCCATGAAGCAAGTTTTATCAAAATAAAAAAGCTGTATATATTTCAGTAATCACCGGAGAGCACCAAATTATTGTATATTTATTGGAAAAAAGGTTAAGATTTTATCTGGAAAGTTTCACCGATTTCGTGGAAATAGCGGGCTCACAATAGAACTTGTCCGCGAACTTTTCTAACACCCCTCATATATGGAAGCATCTTCAGGTAGTGCAAATTCAAATTTGTTCAAATCATGACCCCCTGGGGGTAGGGCGGGGCCATAATAGACGATCAAAGTTTACATAGGAATATACAGGAAAATCTTTAAAATCTTCTTCTCAAGAACAACAAAGCCATGATTAGTCATATTTATAAGGAAGCATCTTCAGGTAGTATAGATTCAAGTTTGTCTAAATCATGACCCCCAGGGTAAGATGGGTCCATAATGGATGATCAAATTTTACATAGGAATATATAGGAAAATCATTTAAAATCTTCCTCTCAAGAATAACAAAGCCATGATTGGCCATTTATTCATAAGGAAGCGTCCTCAGGTAGTGCAGATTCCAGTTTGTTCAAATCATGACCCCAGGGGGGTGGGGACTGTGGGCACAATGGAAGATCAAAGTTTTACATAGGAATGTATAGGAAAGTTTTTTTTAAATCTTCTTCTCAAGAACAACAAAGCCATGATTGGTCATATTTATATGGAAGCATCCTCATGATGTGTAGATTCATTTATTTATCCAAATCATGACTCCAGGGGGTAAGGTGGGGCCAAAATGAAAGTTCCAACTTACATGGAAAAAGCCAAAGTAAGTCAAAGAAGTATGTATTTGCATCCTTAGTTAGTGTAGATTCAAGTTAATTCAAATCATAACCACCACCCCGGCCCTTCCCATCCACCTTTTAGTGGTAGGTTGGGACTACATATACATTTTAATCTTTTCAAAACTGGATTTGATTTTTGCTTTTTTCCTATCCACAGTGCTCAGGTGAGGGTTGGGTCCATGTGCCTCGATCTTGTTTAATCATAGTTTTTAAGTCTGGGGTCTAATAACTTTTCACATTTTTAGGTCATTTAAGTAAACTCAAGTGACATATTGCGCATCTGTTTTTGTCCCTTGTCATTGTCCAGAATGATGTCCTCAGTCCAGGTGAAATTCCTACACCTTACACATGAAGTGCCCATTTTAATTAATAAATTGTCATTCATTATCATCCCTGTAAAACTAGATAAAACCAAATATGATCCCAAGGAGATCACAAGTATATTGCATGTTACAATAAACAAGGGTGTTTTTAACAGCATAAGCATTCATTAATATTTAATTAATTTACAGGAACATTCTTGTTCTTATTAATTTTGCAATGTGGAGATGTGGAACCAAACCCTGGACCACCTCAGGAAAAATCAGCCGATTCAGAAGTGTTGCGACAATTCACTCGCTGTATCCAGTCAGAACTCGTAAAACTCATTTATTCCACAAAGGACAAAGACATACCAAATCCAAACAATTTGTATAAAAATGACCCTCCTGGATGGAACTCTTTTAAAAAAGATATTAAATTTGAAAGTGTTCAAAAGTGTGGATCCCATAGCCAGAGTTTTGATAAACTGGTAGAATTAGTCAAGAAAGAACTCCGAACAAAAATGCCAACTGACATTGCAGATGTTCTGAATTGTTATGAAAAACTTAAACTTTCAAACAAGAAAACAGATGAAGCTGAAAAAGTCAAATTTAAAACAGCTTTGGAGAACTATGTGTCTAGGAACAGGGCTTTAAAAAATAGACAGACAGTTCTGGACAATCTAGATGAGGAGCTGCTGATAGAAGCGCTACAGAAAGCTACGGAGAAGGCAATACAGAGTTCCTTGGTCTCTTCTGATGGCTTTGATAAGGTCCTTGATGCTATAAATAATTTTGTGGATGCAGTGGAACAATTATTGGTAAGTGAATGCTGTATGTTTTTTTTCCCCATCAATTTGATTTATAAATTCAAATCGAAAGGGAAAAAACAAATAACGGTATTGCATGTATAGTTTAGAGTAACATTAAAAATTTTCACCCCTCAAATAAACTGCACCTGACAGTTGGCATTGATTTTCTAAAGAAATTTTTTTTGGTACATGCAGCTACTTACATATACGGGTATACATTAGTTTTTACAATATAATCTTCCTGTGATTTACTGTTTATATGTATTTATATCATTACAGTTACCAACTCCAGGAGAAAAAAGAGGTTTTATCAGTGACAAGGTATACCAGTATTTCCAAACTTTACAGTGTTAACTTAGTATACTTTGGCCTGTAGAAAGCAAAACAAAAGAGCATTTCTACAAGGCAGCACTGGAAATTGATCATGTGACTACTACTATGCTCACTTCTGTAACACACAAAAGAACAAACTAACCCACACATATAAAACTGCATCACTATATATACCCCCTATATCTTTTTTTAAAGTAGTTAATCTTTCAATGAGGCCTTTTTTTATTGAATGTCAGAACATCTAATACCCATTCAGGTGCAGGCTACCAGTAAGCCCTTTTTACTGAAAAATAAAATCTATAATCTATCATGACAGAATGTGTTTTGTAGCTGAGCCATATTGTATGATTTGAATTTGTCTAGATAAATATAGTACTGTAACAGTATGTACTCTGTGTGACTCTAAAAATGGAATATTTATCTAGATATTTTGTCTAAATACATATAGTTATTACAATTCAGATTCAACAGGTGAAAAAGAGAAAGACTCTTGTGCAGTGTAGGTACAAAGGCAAAGGGAAACTCCCGGCTTCAAAGGCAAGATTTATAATTAAGTTTAACAATATTGGTTTGGATGTTTTATTTATAGTATTAGAATTTTAATTTAACTAACCTACACATATAGTGACTTTTGATTAAAAATCTCTATTATAAATTAGGGAAAACAGTGTAAAGGAAAGAGGAATGCCAAGAAATCCCACCAAACTTTAGACGTTAGCGAGGAACGTGGGGAACCCATTGCTACACCATATTTTTGTGATGGAATGCAAACTGTGGTAATAATTCAAGTTAAAGAAAAAAAATTTCCTATTACCGCTATATATAATCATTTCATTACTCCTACACATTAATTTTTTTTTATCTCTAAAATGATTTCTTTATTTTTCATGTTTTGGTACTAATTAGCAGCTTGAACAAACAAATTCCTCCATGGACCTTGAAGGAAAGATTCATACACAACATCAGGTATGTCTGTTCTTAGAATTAAATCAATCAGAACAATATTTTATACACTGTTAAAAACATGATTAAAATTCAGTAATATTAATTTTTAGTTTACTTGAGTCAAAGGCTTATGTTTTTAGCTCACCTGAGCCGAAGGCTCAAGTGAGCTTTTCTGATCACATTTTGTGCGTCGTCCGTCCGTCTGTCTAGCTGTCCGTCTATCTGTCTGTAAACTTTTCACATTTTCGACTTCTTCTCAAGAACCACCGGGCCAATTTTGACCATACTTGGTACAAAGCATCCTTGGGTGACGGGGAATTTAAAATGTTGAAATAAAGGGCCAAGTCCCCTCACAAGGGGAGATATCAAGAAAAGACAAAAATAGGGTGGGGTCATTAAAACTCTTCTTCTCAAGAACCACTGGGCCAGAAAAGCTGAAACTTATGTGGAAGCATCCTGTGGTAGTGTAGATTATAAATTGTTCAAATCATGACCCCCGGGGGAAGGGCGGGGCCACAATGGGGAATCAAAGTTTTACATAGGAATATGTTGGAAAAATCTTTGAAAATCTTCTTCTCAAGAACCACTGGGCCAGAAAAGCTGAAACTTATGTGGAAGCATCCTGTGGTAGTGTAGATTCTAAATTGTTCAAATCATGACCCCCGGGGGAAGGGCGGGGCCACAATGGGGAATCAAAGTTTTACATAGAAATATATATGAAAATTCTTTGAAAATCTTCTTCTCAAGAACCACTGGTCCAGAAAAGCTGAAACTTATATGGAAGCATCCTGGTATAGTGTAGATTCTAAATTTTTCAAATCATGACCCCCGAGGGAAGGGCGGGGCCACAATGGGGAATCAAAGTTTTACATTGGAATATATAGGAAAAATCTTTGAAAATCTTCTTCTCAAGAACCACTGGGCCAGAAAAGCTGAAACTTATGTGGAAGCATCCTGGGGTAATGTAGATTCTAAATTGTTCAAATCATGACCACCGGGGGAAGGGTGGGGCCACAATGGGGAATCAAAGTTTAACATAGAAATATATTGGAAAAATCTTTGAAAATCTTCTCAAGAGCCACTGGGCCAGAAAAGCTGAAACTTATATGGAAGCATCCTGGTATAGTGCAGATTCTAAATTGTTCAAATCATGACCCCCGGGGGAAGGGCGGGCCACAATAGGGAATCAAAGTTTTACATAGAAATATATATGAAAAATCTTTGAAAATCTTCTTCTCAAGAACCACTGGGCCAGAAAAGCTGAAACTTATGTGGAAGCATTCTGGGGTAGTGTAGATTCTAAATTGTTCAAATCATGACCCCCGGGGGAAGGGCAGGGCCACAATGGGGAGTCAAAGTTTTACATAGAAATATATATGAAAAATCTTTGAAAATCTTCTTCTCAAGAACCACTGGGCCAGAAAAGCTGAAACTTATGTGGACATGGAAGGATCCTGGGGTAGTGTAGATTTCAAAATGTCTTAATTATGATCAGTGGGGTAGGGTGGGGATGCATTATGTATTATAAGGAGGAAATCTGGTAAAGAACATAATGGTCAAAGCTTCTCAGGTGAGCGATGTGGCCCATGGGCCTCTTGTCTATAAATACATGTATTTGTGTATATCCATTATGTAAATGATGTTATTTTGTCTTAAATTGTTGCAAAATCTATTTGCAAAATTGATTCAGGAATGAAAAACAAATTAGCCATGATGTATGTGATATTAAGCTCACTTGTAACAGGAGAGGAAAAAATGCGATGGACCAGACCAGGATTCGAACCTAGGCTGAATCTCCAGTCAGGTGCTTTACCACCTGCATATAATCGTTCTGGCCACAGCAATTGAACCCATCTGACTGCCACCCTCCTTAAAGGTCTTTATCCCCTTAAACACAAATCCAAGCTCTTCTATGGCAAGACAGTTTAACCAGTCACTTCCAGGCACTGCATCACATGTCAAATGTAAAAGGAGAGGAAAAAATCTAATGAACGAGATTGGGAGTCGAACCTTGGTCCCCTGAATCTCTAATCAGGTGCTCTACCGACTGAGCTATAATCTGGCCACAGTGATAGAACTTATCTGACCACCACACAACTGTTATAATGAAGTGAAAGCAATATGATAATCCCATATACCAGTATTTTTATGGCCCCCTTTGAAGAAGGGAGGGCATATTGCTTTGCTGTTGTCTGTCTGTTGGTCCACCAATTTTCCGAGGTTGCACATACATGTATTGAAATGTATTGATACAGATTTATCATAAAAATATCTAGGTCAAATTCTGTTTTGGGTACGATCAAGTCATTTTGGGCAGAGTTGTTTCCCTTTGACTTAGAAAAATTTCAATTATTTGCACTTCCTTTCATTTTCTTCACAGAGATTGCACATATTTAAATGTAATTTAAAGTACAGATTTATCATAAGGATATCTAGGTTTTTAGTACGATTGAGTCATTTTTGACAGAGTTGTGTCCATTGGACTTGGAAAAATTCCAATTATTTGGGGGAGAGGGGCATAAGTTTTTAGCTCTACTGGTCAGAGACCAGAAGAGCTTATGCGATAGTAATGCGTCCGGCGTCCGTCCATCTGTCTGTCTGTCTGTCTGTCTGTCCGTCTGTCTGTCCGTCTGTCTGTAAACAATTTTTCAAAACGCTACTCCTCCTACAATTTTAGTCTGATTTCAATATAACTTGGCACACAAGTAGACTACACTAAGATACATAGAATAGTGCATCGGTTTTTGATTTCGATGAACGGTGTTGCCATGGTTACTAAAAATAGAATTTTCTGTGAAATTCCTTAAAAACGCTACTCCTTCTACAGCTTTGGTCTGATTTCAATATAACTTGGCACACAAGTAGACTACACTAAGATACATAGAATAGTGCATCGGTTTTTAATTTCGATGAACGGTGTTGCCATGGTTACTAAAAATAGAATTTTCTGTGAAATTCCTTTAAAACGCTACTCCTTCTACAGTTTTGGTCTGATTTCAATATAAATTGGCACACAAGTAGACTACACTAAGATACATAGAATAGTGCATCGGTTTTTAATTTCGATGAACGGTGTTGCCATGGTTACTATAAATAGAATTTTCTGTGAAATTCCTTAAAAACGCTACTCCTTCTACAGTTTTGGTCTGATTTCAATATAACTTGGCACACAAGTAGACTACACTAAGATACATAGAATAGTGCATCGGTTTTTAATTTCGATGAACGGTGTTGCCATGGTTACTAAAAATAGAATTTTCTGTGAAATTCCTTTAAAACGCTACTCCTTCTACAGTTTTAGTCTGATTTCAATATAACTTGGCACACAAGTAGACTACACTAAGATACATAGAATAGTGCATCGGTTTTTAATTTCGATGAACGGTGTTGCCATGGTTACTAAAAATAGAATTTTCTGTGAAATTCCTTTAAAACGCTACTCCTTCTACAGTTTTGGTCTGATTTCAATATAACTTGGCACACAAGTAGACTACACTAAGATACATAGAATAGTGCATCGGTTTTTAATTTCGATGAACGGTGTTACAATGGTTACTATAAATAGAATTTTCTGTGAAATTCCTTAAAAACGCTACTCCTTCTACAGTTTTGGTCTGATTTCAATATTACTTGGCACACAAGTAGACTACACTAAGATACACAGAATAGTGCATCGGTTTTTAATTTCGATGAACTGTGTTGCCATGGTTACTAAAAATAGAATTTTCTGTGAAATTCTTTAAAAACGCTACTTCTCTAACAGTTTTGGTTTGATTTCAATATAACTTGGCACACAAGTAGACTAAACTAAGATACATAGAATAGTGCATCGGTTTCTGATTTCGATGAACGTTGTTACCATGGTTACTAAAAATAGAATTTTCTGTGAAATTCCTTAAAAACGCTACTCCTTCTACAGTTCTAGTTTGATGTCAAAATAAGTTGGCACACAAGTAGACTACACAAAGATACATAAAATAGTGCAATGGTTTTTGATAAGTACAAACTAGTAGAGCTACAGTCTCGACAGAGACTTCTGGTTACAAACATCTCTTGTTGTTTTCTCGTTGCAGGTAGACATGTCTGGTATAGAACAACCTCAAGATGTACTACAAGATCATTTTGGGCTTGTAAGATGAAATATTCAATGTTTGTTATGATAAAAATATGGTAATCCTATGTCATACAGAACCAGATATTAAATAAAATAACACAATTATTAATTAGCAAAATGCAGTAGATGACAATTTTCCCTATAAAATTATGGATCATGAAGGGTACTCACAAATTCTGCAAAGATTGAGCTACCACAAAATCTAATGGTTCCTCAGCAATTATGAATTCATTATAAGCATGTTTGCTGTAATCGTGTTTTACATACTTTAGAAGCACTTTTTTCCGCGTGGTATTAATTTACGCTATGTGTATGCGGTCACAAATTTTCCGCGGAAATTTGTCCAAGCGTACTTAATATAAATGTAAGACATACAGTGACAGTCTAGGAAATCCGTGTAATTTTCTACAAGCAGATTAAACAGAAATTGATATTCCATGGAATTATGACCGCGTGGAAAAAAGTAAGTCTACAATACTATAAATAATTTATGCTGAACTCTTTTATATTATAGCAGCTTGAATCTCCTCCACACCACCAAGGGATTCAGGATGATGACTTTGATTTCCAAAAACCTGTATGTAATTCTTTACAAAAATATATTTGTAGGACTCCAAAGTGTGATGGGACTCCAAAGTCTGATGGTCATGCCAAAATCTAATGGTCTACGCCAAACCGTAATGATTTGAAACGTCCGAAAGTCGAAAGTCTGATTGTGCGGATAAAGCAATAAACATCAATGATATCATTTGTACTGTTTCACAAAAATGCAATGGCACGCCATGCCTAAATCTTTAAAAATGTACTGCAAGACTAACCCTAGTTTCCCTGATAGGTGTGAGACTAACCTTAATCAGTTGAAAAGTTTGTAACAACTATAACCTAGATATCTTGGGAGGGTGTGAGACTAGCCCTAATCAGTCAAATAGTGTGTGAGGACTAAGCCAAAATTCCTCAGGTTGGTGCAAAACTATCTTGTCCAACCTGTCTCTGGTAGGTGCAAGCAATAAGCAAAATCAGTAAAATTGTATGCAAGAACGAATAGAGAAATGATGGTTTTTGAATGCAGGACAACAGCGTCAAGGATTGATGTAGGAATATTGTGATCTCATAAACATTGATTGGTTCTCAGCACCATCAGACCTTGGCATATATTAGACCATCATTGTACTTTAGTAAATCACATCTCATTGGAAACAATTAAGCCATCCGCTTTTGGGATGACCATTGGACTTTGGCGTCCTTACTGACATCAAACCATCAGGGTTTGTCACTTTAGACTCTTGCCTTTATATAGAATTGTGACTCTAAAATTTAATTCATTTAAATGTCAATCATAAATGTATTCACTATGCAGTGTGCATGTGATTGATATACATCTATCGTGTGAGCTATCAATGCCCGTCACCTCTCCTTTCATTTTGTAATCGGTCTCCTTGAGAGGTTACCAATACTTACTGACCTCAGTTCTGATCACTAAATGTCAGTCTCTTTTATGTTTAATTTTCTTATTTTTAAGCTCCCCTCTACTGGGCCAATTAATCCAGAGGGAATAGAATTTTTAGCTTACCTGTAGTGAATTTAAAGCTCAAGTGAGCTTTTCTGATCACCTGTAAACATTTCACATTGATCACCTGTAAACATTTAACATTTCTGACTTCTCAAGGATCACTGAGCCAATTTAGAACAAAATTGGTGCAAAACATACTTGGAAAAAGGAGAGTAAATTAAAGGCAAAGCGTTCTTATAAACTAAAGATAATCAAGAAAAAACAAGATATTGAAAAATCTTCTCAAGAACTACTGGGCTAGAAAAGGTGAAAATTGAAGCATCCTGGGACATTGTAGATCCTAAATTGTTCAAATCATGACCCTCAGGGGTATATAGGGTGGGGTCACATTTAAGGGATTCAAAATAATAGGAAAAATTTATAAACATCATCTCAAGAACCACTGGACAAGAAACAGTGAAACTCATGTGGAAGTCTCCAGAGAGAATGTAAATTCAAAAGTGTTCAAATCTTGACCCCCAGGGATAGGATAGGGCCAAAATAACAGGAAGGAAAATCTGGTGAAGAGCAGGAGGGCCAAAGTTATTCAGCTAAGCTTCGTGGCCCATGGGCCTCTTGTTTATCAAATGTTTTTTGATAAATTTCCATGCAAATGTATGAGCTATATCAAAATCAATCTAATTAAAATCAGATGTTAGATCCGCTCTCATACTCGCTACACTAACATCTAACTACAACCCATTGAGGGTCATGTCAGAGGTCAAATTCTATCAACCAATCAAATTGATGCCTGCAAAATCATCGTAACTATATTGTTGAAGCGAATAAGTCTAGAGCTGTTCGAATTTGACCTCTGACGTGACCCTCTATGGGATGTTGTTAGATGTTAGTGTAGTGAGTATGAGAGCGGATCTAACATCTAATTTTAATTAGATTGTATCAAAATGGTTTCAGAACAATATGACATGTTTTTAGATTCCAGACATTGGTGCATATACAGAGATATTAACTGAAGCTAGTCAGGAGAGGTGTCCATCTGATAACCTAGATCTGGGCACTATTCAAGAACCTGTTTTCAACTCACCTTTTGTCAACAATACCGTTTTAGATATACCTCTTGATGAAACAAATTATTTTAGTTCAACTTTTGTTAGTGTTGCTGATTATACTCAGGTTTGTCAAAAATATTCGATCCCTTTAAAACTGTGTGTAAAAGATGGTACATTTGTATTTACCGGTAAAGTAATCAAGTAATGGCCGTTTGTCATTCATGAAGACATAATTCTTAATTTTGGATTGATATTAAAGTGATAAAATTTTATTAATACTTTAAATCGATATAAATTAGTATCCAAGCCTTTGAGGTTAATTTTTGTTTTATACTTAGGTTGTAAATATACCAACAACTGTCTCGTCACTTCTGTCTGTGGTGGAATCCCCAGTGCCTACATTAGATATTCAGGTAACACTTTTCAGCATTTAGCAAAACCCTTCAGGTCCCAATCTTCGTGTTGTACTTAAATGTGGTGGAAGTCAAGCAGATAAAAATCAATATTGATTCACAAAAGGTTCTTTTATGCTCCCATAATCAAAGATTCGAGTGTTTATAGTTTTTGCCTTGTCCATCTGTCCATCTAGCTGTCTGTCTGTCTTTTTGTCTGTTTGTCCGCAAAAACTTGAACCTTGCACATCACTTTTGACTAGGTGGGGGCTATGGCTTTTATATTTCACAGGTGTATTCCCCTAGGACAAGACCTTTCTTAAAGTACCACCAAATTTGACCTTTTGACCTTGAAGTTTGACAAACTTTTAAAGAAAAATTCCAAACTTTTATGTTATGGCCATAACTTTTGAATGGTTGGTGCTAGGACTTTCATACTTCAGATATGACTATATTCTTTGTGACAAGGTCTCCCATTAACCTTTTGACCATAACCTTGGAATTTGACCTATTTTTGAAAAACTCAACCATGGCCATTGCTTTTGAGCAGTTGGTTTTAAGGTTTTAATATTAAATTAGTACATTAATTCTGATGAGAAGTCGATCCTAATGGGTACCATTAATTTGACCTTGACCTTGAAGTTTGACCCACATTTTAAAAGGTTTACTTGGACTTTCATATTTAATAGGTATTATTATTGAGACAAGTCCTTTCTTTTGGTAATAACAATTACCATCCCTTCATCTTGGAGTCTGACTTGCATTTAAACTTTAACCTTGACCAAAAGGTGCCATACAAAGTGTTTTACAAATACATCTTGTAAAAGTGCATAACTTCATTACTAAGATTGGAAAATCAAGTCACTGACAGGAACATTCAGAATATAGCTAATTTTGGAAAAATTTGGTATTCATATATTTTACACATTTGAAAGCTCATGGATATCAGGCAGAAAAAAAGTTGCAAAATTTTGAGGCCTTTTTCAAAAAAAAAAAAAAAAATTCCTCCTTGGTCCATGGTTGATTTCCTTTCTTTTGGTGCTAAACCTCACAAAACAGTGTAAATGTTTGTGACATAAGTCAAAAGTTTACAAAGCACGAAAATCAGACTTATATGATGATCAGTGCTCATTCTTGTAAACCTCTTAATCTTAATCAAAAAGTGATTTTATTACAATGTACATATTTTTTTACAGAATATATTTTTAAATTAAGAGGATATATCATTTAAACATAATACTGTAAACCAACTTTTATTCGCGTATGAGAAATTTTTCACGAGAACCTCGTCATCACGAATATTTCTCGCCGCAATCCGGTCGATCTTTAAAGTGTATGTGTCTATTAACAACATATCCAAAAAGGCTTGATTGTGAAAATTAATCATCGTTTTTGCCTGGTGAATCGCGAAATAAAGTCGTGGCAATAAAAGTTGGTTTACAGATGTATGTGTTATCATCACATGTTCATTCATTGACTGTTAAATTCTACCTGCCACATTATATTAGTGGACAGTGTTACTGATCACATTGCTCATGTCTTTTTAGGAGGGAATATCCAACCAACATATCCCAGAGGACATCAACATTGCAGATGAATTTGTGAGATTTATTTCCAGTTTATAAGGAATACTAACCTGTCATGGACAACAGTGTAAAACACTTTGAAGTTTGTATCTGAAACAGGGAAGAAGAAAATGTATGACTGGACTGGGAATCAAATTCAGGACCCTGCATCACTAGTCAGGTGCTCTTCTGACTGAGCTATCCAGGCCGATATCAACAGCCCAAACCATTACATACCAAGTATCCAAGAGACCAATACCATACAAGTCCTATAGTGTTTAAGGGACCAAAGACAACTATAGGGCACTCTGAGTGAGACGATATACCTCAATCCTTCATCACAATCAATATACAATGCAGAGTTAAATCAGTGAAGCCTTTGCTATCTTCTGATCATTTGTAAAATACTCAAAGAATGGGGAGAAATTTCTCCTTGATGAAATTAGGACTGTACACTGTTATCTGTTAACTTGTTTGGGAATGCATTGATTACTCAATGTTTGGGTTGGAGGTAAAACAAAAATCCCACATCAGTCAAAGCGTGCCTTTACTTAATTCTGTGTAATGGATCTAATGGATTCAAATGAGGTAAATCTTTACCCTAAAACTTTTATGACTGATTTTTTTCATATAACTTACTGAGATCTCCCTATAGTCTTTTGTATAGTGAGAGATTATGACAAGACTGTAAAGATAAAATAAGATCCTTCTACTTCTATATGTGGAAGTAAAATGTAGATTTAGATTTTTTTTTGTTTTTGAAATTGTATTTTTGTACTCTACGCAAATTCTTAATGTAAACACATTTTTTTCCATGGTTCATAATTCTGCAAATTTACAATTTCAATTTCTGTTCAATTTGCAAGGAGTTATGGAGTTTCCAATTCATTGACATTTTACTTCTTAAATGCACACTAAAGTGCGACTGGAGAAATTTCTGCAGACAATTAAGTTGTGACGTACTACCTGCATAATGGAAATTAATCCAACATGGAAAAAATATGTCTGTGAATAATTGAATGTGAATCTTCATACTGTACTTGTATTGATTTTACATATTATTTTTATTTACTTAATTTATGATGTTATATATCAAGTAAAATGGGTATCCAATTATAAATTGCCCTGAGACAATTTCAGAACTGTTGATTTTATTTTATTTCTCCATTGTATGGAGTATATCTATGGATTGATCAAAACAGTCAAAAAAATCATTTTTTAAATTCATATTTTATTAAATGATGTCAAATTTGATTATGATATCTTACAAGATTTTTTAATGTTAAGATTTTATATAACCAGAGATTGTTGTTTAATACTGTTCTTATATGTATATTTTTATGACAAATGTGTATGATTAAGAGGTCAGTATTTATTTATTTATATGGTTAAGTTTATAAGAAATTTTCTCTCCAAATCATGAAATCAAGGGCAACATAAAGCAGAACAGCCCCTTGTAAAAGAGTATATTTATAGATCAAGGCAGCACTGTTCATAACATTTTGGATTTTAAGAACAGATATTTTTTAAAAATTCATCAGAGTTGACACTATCCTTTTTCAACTACATGTATATCATTCAATATGTCATATGACTATATATACTTGCAGCTGTTTTCTTTCAAATCATTAATAATTGTCTTGCAATAAAATTCCGAAAGCATTCAATATTTTATAAAACAATCCATTTAAGCAATGGTATATTAAAAAACATTTACCATGGCATATATATATATGCTCAACTCAGTTGAATTTTTTTCAACTGAATACGGGGTATAGAATCTACATATTTTAACTTGATTCTGCCTAAAGAAAAAAAATTCAATTCTATTTAGTGTTCCTAAGTAAGAATTGAGTACTTAGTATCCTGCCAGGAGCAGATCAATACAACATAAATGTCCATTATTATCCTGTATGAAATTGATCTCTAAAAATTGATTGTGTGACAATTTGGACCAAATTGTAATCAGTTATCATGTGTCAGTGCTCTTATGCATTAAATAAATAATCATCTCTTTCTATGCAGCTACAAAATTTTCTGAGATTCTTAATATATTATTTTAATATTTTCTGTTTGTAAAACTTTTTACAGTGTTTTAGATATTTATATATTTTTGAGAAGGGTGATTATTATTTTCAGTATATCTGCTTTTAAAATGAGGAAAAAAGACAGTAAGAAAAATACGTCTGAATGTTATATAATCTCCCCTTGTAAAAAATTATGGGGGTGAGGGAAGATACACGTATCTTTAAAATTTGGATGCTTATTTGCAAAGTTTCCTACATTGATTAAATGATACATAATATTTTTAGTGAATATTTTGAACAAGTGCTATTTTCCACAGAATAATTGCTTGATTTTTTATTTATGAAAATGATATGCTGACCATATAGGCTTCAATGTTAAATTAATAGTGAGGAAATTGAACAAAGGATGACTGTACTTAACACCAAGTTTTGGGTCTTTTCTGTGGCTTTTGTTGCTTAAGCGTCTTAATCTAATTTCATATTTTTTAAATCTACCAAAGTGTCAATTTGGCACCAAATTTAATTGTTCAAATGATTATAATCTGTTATACAATAAAATAATTCTATGTTGTCTTCACTTCTTTCCAAATACAGAAAATTTACACTTACCTGCCTGTGATTGCAAGAATATTAGGTATGCATGAGCAGTGGAGCTTACATTGTAAGAATGGATCTTAAATTGGATAGAATAATTTAAATAAATGAAATCACTAGCAATAACGCTGCTCTGATGTGAATATATCTGTGGACATCGAATTTATACAAAAATGAATCCCACCAAATGGCATGCCTAAACAAAGAGTGTGCTAAAATTTCAATCATCTGTGATGAGTACATGTAGTTAAGAGAAAACTGCGATGAAAATTTGATATGGACAGACAGACAGGGGTATAATAATTTAAGATGTCCACAACATTAAGACAACATTCAAATTCATGAATACATGAATTATGATAATACATGTATGTGCAAATTCGTTGTCAACATGAGAAGGTATTCACTTCAGAGTGGGGCTTCCAGAATTTTACATAGCATTTCACATTTTTTTTATTTCATTCCGACAATTCATTTACGGAGTGAAGACGTTAACGAGGCTCTTACTTGTAGGAGTAATGTAACGACGCCAAGTCAAAAGTTATCTTGACAAGAGCCTCTAGCATGCTGGAGTACTTGTTACATGTAGTAAGACATTAATGCAGAGAGGCTTAACCTTCCACACTGCATGAAAAAAATACGGATTGCAAAATCTAGCAATCTAGAAATTTTCATTAAATTCTTTGCATCCTTGTTGGAGTTATGGCCCCTGAAATATCAAATCTCGACATTTTTGCAGATGCAGCATAATTATTTTCAAAACACAACTTTGGAAATTTTTCTTATCCCCTACAGGTTTAAATTTTTATTTTGATCTAAAACGAGGCTACTGATACTATAAATATTTAGTTTGCAAGGTGATAAGCACACTTTGCTGATAACTTAGAACAGACGGACAAAGTTCAGCAAAGTTAAAAATTAATCTAATGGCGAGTTTACATAGTAAGCTGCAGAACATTTTGTGCATCTGTATGAGAGTTATGGCCCCTGATATGACAAAGTCAGGGTGGTTCTTGCAGGTTTCAACTGAAAACCAATGGAGTTGTATAACTAACAATAAAATCAAAAGGTATATTTAAAAGGACTCCTGGAAACCGGATCAAAGTTTATCTTTAAGTATAAAACATTGATCTGACATTATTTTGTGTAAGTGTTTCTATTTGAAATTCAGTTCATCATAAAACTTATATTTTGTAAACTTCCAATTATGGTTATAGTGATTTAAAATTCACAGGTCCCTTGGAAATACGGTTTACTGTGTAAGCTTAGATCATTTTGGAAGACTGGAAATTTTTCGCTAAAGTTAAGTTGAGGCACAGCCCCACCCTACCCTTGGGGCATGATTTGAACAAACCTGAATCTACACTACCTGAGAATGATTCCATATGAACATCTTTGATCAGAAAAGCTTCACTTGAGCCTTTGGCTTATGTGAGATAAAAATTATGATTTCACATTACATGTAAAACAATGAGCTTGATTTCTGGAAAACACTGACAATTTGGAAACAAATATTTAATAGACAATGTAAGATGTCATTAAATACAGGTCACACAAAAGTATATCAAAATTGAAAAACCTAAAAATACCAAGTAAAAATGTACCATTTTTGATACCTCTGTAAAAAATCTATGTGTGTTACATTTCATACCTTGTAGACTATTATTTTTATTACATTACTGTAAACAAATCTTTTTACAAGTACTTATGCAAGGATATTACACTAAATGTATTTTTAACATTCAAGGATTTCACTTTTTTAAATTGCAATGAAGCAAACTTTAATGACAAATCTACAGTTTCATTCTTCAGTTTCTCTGTCCTGGAAATATGTCTTAACACAGAAATATATATAATTGTCTTATAATTTCACACAATAATCAACACTGGCATTAATGCCAAGACTTTTACTCAAACATTTATAACATACAGTTTTTCAATCCATATTTAAAGATCCTGCTAAATGCATAAATATGTTCTAATATCAAGCAGAAAGCTTATGGTGTCTATAGCACTGGACATAATGATCATGCATTGTGGCAGCATTGAGTCAGTAGAATATAATTCTATGATATCCTCTGGTTAGAGCGGCATGTTGGCGTGTTTTTTCCACGGATTGGCCAGCTTTTTACTGGCTAACATGTCCAGGTCCATACAAATCTGTTTCCGTGTAGCACGAGGCTCAATTATGTCATCCACAAAACCTACAAAGAAATGGAAAAGATTTTTTATTGGTAGAGAGGAAGTTAAAGATTTATTAAATGTATTCATTCACAATAACACAGTTTATTAAAAAAAAAGGCTCAAAAGGACTACAGTGGACCTTAAAGAGGAAGCTTAGTAGGATTTATAAAATTTTTATATCATTCTGTCTTGTTTAAATGATAACAGTTCACATTCCGGACAAAAAAAAAGGCCCAAAAGGACTATTTTATACTGGTTTAACATCAATACATTGTATATTCTTATGCAATTAATTGAGCACTTATCTCCTAAAATAGGGAAGAATTCTTAAGACTCGTCAAAATTTCAGTAATTTAGTTGCCATGGCGCCTAAAAATTTTGATGGGCTCTAAAATTTTTCTACAAGTCTCCAAATTGGCAACCATTTAAAATTGACTTGGTGATCATATTACTGAACTGTAAACATGCATTTTCAATTTTTTTTATAATAATGAGCAGAACAATAGTTTAAAAGTAGGCAATGGGCACGTCTCTATATACTGTATACAGGGAAATTTTGCCCCCGTTTCATTTTCGCCCCTTTCGCCCTCTCCTTGATTGGGCAAATTTAAAATGACACCTCATAATTTCTTAAACAGAACTATGACTGGGTGAATTTAAAACGGGGCAAAATTGTTCACAAGTTCAAAAGGGCGAAAATAACCCTGTACACAGTATTGACTAATATTTCCATTTCTAATTGTTGATATGCAAATTATCCCATGTTTCCAACTATTGTTGATGCCCTGGCATACCCTCCTAACTAGACAGTGATTCCTTAAATGTAAGTTTTTAAATTGGCTAAGAAAAATTTTCCTGGCTACTAAAAATTTGCATTGGCAACTAAATCTTTTTGATTATAAGCCAATTGGGGCCTCAATGTCAGAGGTCACATAGAGGCCAGCAATAAAATATAAACTCTCAAACAAACTGAATCCAAGCACTGGATTTAAAGGGTAGCCACAAAGTACAATATGCATCATGCAAACCCCTTTTGACTATTCATTAGAGTCATAGTTCATTAGATTCTAACAGAACACACTCTGACAATTCTTTGTAAGTAATAGAAACTCTCACCTCTTTTGGAGGCCGGGAAAGGATTGGCAAAATTTTCCACGTACTCTGCCTCCTTCTTTTCCTGGTCCTTACCCCGGAAAATGATCGAGACAGCTCCCTGTCAAAACATAGCTGTACAATAAAACTGCTCATTCACAGGTTCAAAGAATATGCAAATAGACTTTGCAGTGTGTTCTTTTAAAATTGGAAACTTGTTCGTATTAAAATATTTCATGCATTTCAGAGATGTCAATTAGCACACTCTTGATTACAAGCGTATAACAGACAGTTGTATATATATATTTTTAATACTTTATCAGAGAACAAGCTGAGGCTGTTTTACAAAAATAAGACATCAAACATACTGACCTTTGCTCCCATGACAGCTACTTCTGCGGTGGGCCAGGCATAGTTGGTATCCCCCCTGAGATGTTTAGAACTCATCACATCATATGCTCCACCATACGCCTATAAATAAACAACTCAAATGTTCACAACTGAGCAATACATGTAGTATTTCACAAAAATGTACCATAGAAAATGTTATATTAAAGATACATGTACATGTATATGACTTTAAAAAATAAATGGATTTCTAATGCAAAATGGGCGTATAGTCACTTTAATTCATAACTTTTGAACAAACTTCATATTTGATATGCATACTCAACTAATTAAGCACTTTCAACTGACACCAAGGTCAATGACCTTGTGACCTTGACTGTGACCTCTATGCTAAAAATAGCTTTTTCAAACTTTCACCATAACTTCTGAACCATATGAGATAGAGACTTCTCTAGGTTTTCGGGACGTATTTGTTTTTGTCCTGTCTGTCTTTTTTGTCGGTTGTCAACTTTAACCTTCGCCATAACTTTTAAGCTGTGAGAGACAGAGACTTCATATTTGATGTGCATACTCAACTAATTAAGCACTTTCAACTGGCACCAAGGTCAATGACCTTGTGACCTTGACTGTGACCTATATGTTAAAAATAGCTTTTTCGAACTTTCGCCATAACTTCTGAACCATATGAGATAGAGACTTCAGATTTGGTGCATACTCCATTAATTAAATTCTTTCAAATACCAACAAGGTCAAGGACATTGTGACCTTGACTGTGACCTATATACTAAAAATAGCTTTTTCGAACTTTCGCCATAACTTCTGAACCATATGAGATAGAGACTTCATATTTGGTATGCATACTCCATTAATTAAGTTCTTTCAAATACCCACAAGGTCAATGACCTTGTGACCTTGACTGTAACCTATATGCTAAAAAAAGCCTTTTCGAACTTTCGCCACAACTTTTGAACCATAGGAGATAGAGACTTTATATTTGATATGCGTACTCCACTAATTGAGTGCTTTCAAATGACACCAAGGACAATGATCGTGTGACTTTGACTGTGACCTATTTGCTAAAAATTGCTTTTTAGAACTTTGTTGCCGCAGGGTGCATAGTGTTTCACAAACAAATCTTGTTTTTGTATTTTTTTGGTTTTTAATGTATCATGTATATATATTGATCTTTATCCAAAAATGTCAGGACTGGAAAAAATGTTATAATTAAGGAGATATCTTCAGAAAAAATGGAGACTATTTCTTTGAATGTAAATTGTTCAATACAGAGAAAATTAATAACAATAGAAATATTTGCAAGTTCTGTGAGTAAGAGTATTCTCCCTTATCACATTAGC